ATTGTTATACCTATAAAGGCATTGATTTACTATGCTTAAGAGTTAATCTGACGCACAAACTCAACAATCTACTGCTGATCGACAAACAAGCATACTGAAACCACATTCCTATGAGTAGTCTTCAGAGTGAGCAATATTGGCGTTAGACATCGGTCGAGTGCTAGGTAGGTGGGAGGGGAGATCAATAGACGAGGCTGTGAAGCAGCTGCATCGATTGAGATGGTTAGCACATGTGTTACGCATGCCTAGCTATCCATCGCTCTCCTTGACAACGGACGATGTTAGCTGACACAGGATCAGGTTAGAAAATAGTAGGCCAGTGGTGGTCAAACCAAAACATGGCTTCATCAGTCAATGAAATCCACAACAGTTAATTTAAGCTAGCGAGCCTCGTAAGGAGGCATAGATTTCCTGATTGACTGGGGTCCTCGAGACGGTAAACACCAATAGCTGGAGACAATCGGTGATATGGCTCAAAATCGTCCTCGATGATGGCACAGATGCATCTACTCCTTATAACTTATAATACCCAATATAACTATATTGTTCTTCGCTATTATTATTCTTTTTACCTCATATCTCTGTTTAGTGTCCCTATTTTGCATTTCTTTTTACTTTCTTCTCTGGCTTTGTATGCTGAGTGAAGTGTGACGACTCGAACTACTGCAAACCGGTTCAAAGTTCTATGCTGAAACCAGACAGACAGTCTTCAGGTAATTAAAACGTAAGGACAAATGTTCATCCAGGAACAAATCTCCACTAATGAACTAAGAACAACGTCATAAAGAATTCTTAAAGCTCACTTCAAACTGAAGCAACAGCTTAAGATGTTATTGAAAAGTATAATCGAAGCCTGGCAATTAAACCATCCAAAAGTCAGAGAATACATCAACACCGAAGAGATTACGTCAGTTGCATCTGATTTATGAAACACTTCTCCATACGAAAGAAGAGACTGACAAAATACTAAGAAATTCCTTCCCTCTAGACAAAATGTTTTAACTATTCAAGTCATGAATACATCTGATCTATCTAAACAAAAAGATCTGTTAATTTACTTGTTGAAGTTCATTTGTAATCTCATGTATATTGATTATGTTGGACCGGAACAACGGTCAGTTCCTGTTAACACGGCACATATAACAACTGATACCCGCTGCACAACATGAAGCTTTTATGACCCATTAACCCAGTGGATACCGTTTCTCCGTTTAAAAAGATAAGTATTAGGTTTGAGTTACATTGGGGAACATTATCCATCACTCTCTGGAGAAGTAAGTACATCCAATTGACGGGCCCCAAAAAGGATGAAATGCATTTCACGTGGATTCCACTGCTAGTGACTAACAACAATCAGATAAAAATAATCACTTCACAGGTTTGAATACGAGTTGACGTCAGTTAGGGAATCGTTAGAAAACTTTGGATTACTGGACAACTGTTTTGTCCTAGTTTGGGACTCTTCGAAAGTACGCACCTACTGGAGTTCTCACTAGTTTCAACGTACAGCTTTGGACCGATGTGTAGCAGTTCCACTTGCCACACTTCATGTGCCACACAAACTAAGAGAAGAGAGTAATATATGAGTCAAAAATAATAGTAATACTGAAGGACAATAGAATTTCATTGGATATCACAAATCACAAAGAGTGAATGCAACTGAACCAGCTGTTGAGAACGATTTTCAGTTATATCAACAATTATCTCCAGCCTTCATTGGTTCTTACTGCCCCGAAAACCTCAACCAGGAAGTCTACACCTTTTTATGTGGCTGACTGGCTTAAACTAACTGTTGCGGATTTCATTGACTGATGAGACCATGTTTTGATTTGACCATCACTAGCCTATTCTTTTCATACCTGATCCTATGTCATCTAACATCGCCCGTTGACGAAAAAACCTATGGATGGCTAGACATGGGTAACACGTCTTAACCATCTCAATCGATGCAGCTGCGCTTCACAGACTCGTCTATTGATTTCCCTTCCTCACCTAGCACTCGACGCCTAACCTCAATGTTGTTCACCTCATTATATCATTTAACACGAGAGATAGAACGCAGACACCTTTCTATGATCAAAGACAGCTAGCTATTTCATGTCTTCCACTTTCAATGGCCACGTCTCACTCACAGCCGTAAAGGAGGACAGAGTGAACTGCTGAGTCAACTGAATTTCATGTCCACTAGGCCAGAGATGAAGTAGGTTGGCGTATGCAAAACGAGTTTTCTGTAACCGTGCTGAGATTTCGTCAGCAATCAACCCATCGGGGTTGATGCAACTTCTCAAATAAGTGAAGTGGCCTACACGTTCTACCACTACACTCCCTATCTTTAAGCTAGGAGTGAATGTAGTCCATTGGAGTTCGAAAGCAGGAGATCAGATAAGAGGTCAGTTACTAGCCAAGCATGACATTAGCTAGCAGCCGTGCAACATACATGTATATCGCGAATTGGCAGAAGTTAGAACTCATGGGCTATTCTAAGGGGTCCCAGTGACTGAATGGTCTACAAGCTTGCCTTGTGATCGGAAGGTCCCAGGTTCGAAACCTAATGGGTGCGTACTGTAGATAGGTTTCAGACTAGAACGAAACAGCTGTCTGGCGGTACTCCCAGGTTCCCAGTGGTTCTCTAACTCATGTCAAGTCGTGATCAAATCTGTAACCAATCAAATCCCTGCAAACCAACATTTGATAACTAATTACTTTAGTTGCAACAACCCCTAAACTACATCTCATTCGATAAAGTTGCAGTGAGATTTCTGATAGAAGGCTTTTATATTAATGCAAAAGATTAAGTTAAATACCACCAGTAGACAATAAGTCCTCATAAACGAAATTGAAATGTTTAAAATAGATCTAATCCCAATTAACCAAGTAGAATGTATTAGTGAAGCATTAGGGTCAAATTTTATGCATAGAATCCAATTCAACCTAGAACACACACCATCTATAATCAATCCACACGTCATACAAAGCATTCCATTGTGGGCAAAAGTTTCATAGGTTAGTGTAGTCACAGACAGACACACATAAAAGCGCTCACACACACGTATATGTGCAAACATATACACATACAAAAGGTATACGCGATAAAATAACAAATCGGGAAATATTACGAAAATGTACACTGTAGCAACGATTACACAAATATAAACAAATGAATTGTTTAAAACAATGCCACATTAAAAACATGCACAAAGATTTTTTTGAGAAAATGTGAATTGAATAAACAAATGTTGAAGAATTTCACAATACACATATACGTTAAAAACTGACAAGTTGGCAAAAGAGGCTGCCAGTGAAGAGACAGGACTTCAAGTGATGAACACACTTAGAGAGGACAGAACTGAGGAAGATAACTGACTAACAATAACACGAATAACAAGGTATCAGACCGTATCAGCAGTGTACACATGTGAGGATGTTAAAGCTAACCATGATCATTAAAACAAGACAGACTTTTATCACTCAAAAATCGGTGGGGAGATCTGCTGGAATCAAAGACTTTGGACATGATAGAAAGCAGTTCCAACGGGCTGCTGTAGGCTTTCATCAACAGCTGTCTTAGCTAGCTAGCTAGCTCGATAGTGAAGATCCGATATTGTGGATAAAAATATTATTTTGATAAAGTCTCACAGTGTTTGTTATACAGTAATATTTAGCGATGACCACGTTTCGAGCACAATTTATTACTGCACCTCATAATCGTTTATATAATTCCTTTTTCTTTCATCGCTTGACTTCAATGGTAGTAGTATTTTCCATATATCTTCTACGAGTGAGGAGTTATTCCTATTGCATGTGTTCCAGTGTAGACTCGATGGACAAGGATTCAGTAATCAACCTCTATCTCCACCTAACTAGATTACTCTTTAAAATTTTAACCCTCTCCCACCCTATTGTATGGTTGTGTGTTAATGCATGCATTGCAATTGCTGTGCTTTTTTCGAAAATACTTACTTTTGTGGAGTCAGTCAATCTAACCTTAGCTAAATTCTTATGTTCTGACACAATTTGACTACCCCCGATCTACTAGTTTGACCTATGTAGTTGACCTCATTCACAGTCATTCCATGGTATTTTGTAAACTACATTATTTCATATAATTGGGTCAGTAGAGTCCTTTAACTTACAGAGCTTGTCCCTGAATGAGTTTGTAGGTTTGAATGCCACTCTAATTCCTGATTTATTAAGAATCCCACTAAGTAGGCAGGGTCTCAGATGTCCCCTCTTTATATGACAGAATTGTAGACGCCTTATATTCTTTCTTATTTATTTCCCCATTATAATAGGGTAGCGATGAAAAAAAAATGGAATTATATAAACGAATTTAAAAATTTGTATGAATACACCTTGATATTATTATGAGCTAGAGTAATAAATTGTGCACAAAACGTGGTCGCATCAGTCAATTTTACTATATAACACTGTGAGACTTTATCAAAGTAATTTTTACCCACAATTGAATTATACTCTACCACAGTGCACAAGTTCTATTCTTATATCGAAAATCAGACACTCAACCAAGAAGAATGAGCAACATAGAACTCTTGTGCCGAACCAATCAGGAACCTACCACCACGCAACAAACATGCAACAGAAAATCATGATGGACTGTATATACTCTGAGAAGACCACTGAATTACGTCCCCAGCTAGACCCTCGAATGGAAGCCGAATAGGAGACGACGAGTTAAGCTGTGATCCAAGGGTTACACGGGGGAGGTCGTGTGAGGAGATAAGAACTTATGCGTAATCGTGGAGCCAGCTACAGAAGACTGCCGAGAATCTAGTGAAATAGAGATGCGCCGTTGAAGCCCGATGTTTCAATCGGGACCCAAGAGAATAATAATAATATATACAACAACAAAAAATAAGAACACCGTGACTGGTGGTGTTAACAAACTGACATAAAAGCAAGGAAGTATATATATATATATATATATATATACATATATTTCCACATGATAAAAGAATAACACAATCAAAGAAAATACTCACCAGCATAATCGGTTAGATCACCATCAACTTCCAGTTCAACAGATTCTATAAAAATTAGAAACAAACAATTCGTGTAAAGTGAATGCATGAAAAACAACAGAATGGATAAATTATATATATATATATATATATATATATATATATATATATATATATATATATATATATACATAGGAAAAGTATACGGACAGGACAGTTTACACAATTTAATAGCTTCGTTTCTCTGCAGTATAAAAGAAATCTAGTAAAGACCCTCAGCCACAGGGTTAGAGCTATATACTCAGGAGAAGTATTTGAAGATGAATTAAACATTGTATATGATACCTTGATTGAAAATAGCTATCCCGATAAATTTATCTAGGAACAAATGATAAAGAAAGCGGAAAAGGACTACTCACTATCCGCAAACAAGAAGTCTCTTTATATACGACTGCAATTCAAGGGTGATATAGCAAGAGAAATAATTACGAAGAAATTAAGAAAATCAGTTCAAAGAACTTTTAATGCTGGCGAACTACACGCCTTATTCTCTACACAACCGATGGTGCTACCTAGACTGAAAGAGGAAGTACCTAGACTAGCCACTTCAAATTGTATCTACCAATTCAACTGGGCTTGTGGAGCGAGTTATATTGGCCGTTGCTCTAGGAACTTGATTTTTCGTGCTCACTCGAGAACATCTCTCAGTATGACTAAGCAAAGGTGTAGTTAAAACCACTAACAGTTCGCTATTAGACCATCTGGTCCAAACCGGTCACAAACCCAGCGTGGAAGAATCCTACTCTAACATCTACCCCGTACCAAATAAATTGCCAAAACATCCAGGTACCGCATACTCCAAACAGCAGAGGCTATCACAATTCGCCTCAAACAACCAGTGCTTTGTATGCGAAAGAAGCAAGTCCAGCCAGCCACTACTACTGCCCTGGCCGGCCTTCAGTAGAGACTATGAATTCATGAATTTGTATTATTATCTTTCACAATTTTTCTGACATTCACTTTATTGTTATATTGATGCTATTGAACTATAATCTATTGATATTATTATTGATTCGATGTTATTTAAACAAAATTAATGTTGCTAATAATACTAATTCATTTACTTTAATGTATATATATAACTGTAGAACCTGATGATGAAGTCATCGAAAAGAGTATTCTTTGTTCAGTAAGCATTCTTTCGAAAATGTGAATGGGCATTTTTAATCAGCTAATATGTAAAATATTAGAGACCATGTGTTAACCAGGTCGACAGTTCAATGGTGGAATATTGATCGACTACACAAGTGGTCCAGATTCGACTCCTAGCTAATGCACACACACCTTAACTTCTCCTAGTCAGTTCGCTAGCCGATAGTAAACTGACAGACATGTTCCACTCAGAACACGAAGGATTCAGAGAAGTGTACTGAATAATAATTTGAAAGCAATGAACAAAAGTTCCAGTGTTTCAATAAAGCTGAGATCTTCATCAATGACTTATGAGTTTAAAACGTAGATATGAACCATAGAACAACACAGACGTTTTTTAACAACAAAGCAATCATCAAGGATATCAGTAGAAAATGTTCTCTTCTCTTGTACTCTGCTTACAAAATAAAATCTGAATACTAGCCGACAAAGGAAGAACAACAGTAGTCATAGACAGAGAAGAATACAACAAGAAAGCTGAAGAACTACTCAAAGATGATGATGTATATCAACAACTCCCAACAAATCCCATACAAACATTGGACAACCGCATCCAAAGGACATTAAACAAGCTCATCAAAACTGGACAGATCACAAAACAAGACCAATGGCGAATGAAATCCAATGGACTAGTCCTACCCCGATTCTACGGCAGACCAAAAATACACAAGTCAAATATCCCATTACGACCAATTGTATCACTTTCAGGAACTCCAACATATAATTTATCCAAAGAATTATACAGAAAACTAAAACACCTAACGGAATCTTGTGATCACTCCATCAACTCTGCTATCTAATTCCTAGAGAAAATCAGAGGTATCCAAATAGATGAACAAGAAATAATGATATCCTTCGACGTCACAGCATTATATACCTCAATCGGACAAAAACTAGCAAAAGAAGCCATGGAGCAATTTACTTAGCAACGACGAACACCTTCCACAACAATCAAAAATGCAACACACAAGCTGGATGGAATGCATAAACCTATGCCTAACAACATACTTCCAATTCAACGGCCAAATATATGAACAAGTCAAAGGAACACCCATGGGATCACAAATATCAGGTTTGATTACAGAAGCAGTGATACAGAGGCTCGAAAACATAATTCCACCAAAGATCAAACCCAAGATTTGGATACGATACGTCGGCGACACATTTGTAATAATCAAATTCAATGACATCAAATTCACAAGAGAAGAGGAGTGGGAGAAGCAAATTCCATTTTTGGACGTCTTAGTCAAGCAAACAACCACAGGGGAATTAAAAACTCAGGTTTATAGAAAATCAACTCACACAGATCAAATCCTGCATTACAACAGCAACAATCCAATAGCACACAAAAGGAATTGCATACAAACACTATTCAAGAGGGTCAGCCAGGAGTCATTGCAGTACTCCCACCTTAAGGAAAATTGAAGAAAAATATCTCATGGACATCTTCCAAAAGAATAGATATCCACGGAATTTCATCAAAAGACATATACCCCTAAGCCAACCTATCGGACCAAAAGCCCCAAAGGAAAGCACAAAGAAAATCGCCTTACCAAATATAAAGGATATCTCAGAAATCACTGCAAGACTCTTGAAACCTTTAGGAAATGACGTCGTACACAAACCAACAAAGTCGCTTCACTCAATTCTATGTCAACCAAAAGACTCAACAGCGAAAGAAGATAAAACCAACATCATCTACAAAATAAACTGTAACAACTGCGAAAAACACTACATTTGCCAAAGTGGACGTCCCCTTCGTCTTCGTATCCACGAACGTAAGCTAGCCGTCGAAAGACATGATATCCACTCCTTCATATCGCCTCACAGCATACAAACAACCACGGCGATCAAGTCGACTAGGACAACGTTCAAATATTAGACGGAGGAAACAACAAGAATGCTAGAGAATTTTTAGAAGCTTGACATTCCAGTGAATCATCAATCAATAGACACATCGAGATAGACAAAATTTATCAACCGATAAGAAATAAACTTCACACACAAAGGGTCAAAGTTCAAGTCAAAGAAACAATCAGTTCCAGCACAAGTAACCTAGAAGGTGTGAAAACACACAAAAATAACCAACCACGTCTAAGGTCACCGACCAGGAGAGATGATTAATAAAATCGTGGAGAAATGTAAAAGCTCACTTCATCAAATTGAAGTATGCGCTGAAGGTGTCACCTAGTAGGGTGATAAAAGCTTTGCAAATTAACTATCCAGCTAGCTCAGAGAACACAACCACATCAAAAACAATCTAAATAGTCAAGAAAATTTCAAAGTGTGATACATTCAGCGTACTAACCAGTGCAGTTAGCTACAATCATTTTTTATATTTGAGTACAGATTCGTTTCACACATCTGAAACTAATCAAACGCTCAATGTGTAAATAAAGACAAGTCACGGAGGCGAAGGCAAGAGATAAACGATGAAAACTTGTTTCTTCAAGTAAATAACTTTGAGAACACATACAATACTACTCATAAACTGTTTAATTTTAGTGCAGTTGTTTCAATATGAATATCTCTCAATGCAAAACAGAATCCTCTTAGTGCTTTAATCGTTCTCCTTATCCTATATGTTAAGAGGTAGACAAGTAAAAATAACCCACTCACATTACATGGGTGAGAAAATCTACCTCTATAACGATCACCAAGTGGGAGAAGAAAGTAAAAGCAGCTAAGGGATTGTGATTAAGTGTTGGTTTGTAGGGATTTGACTGATTGGTTACAGGATTTCATCATGAGCTGACATCAGTTGGAGAACCACTGGGGAAACCTGAAGGGAGTACTGGACAGGTGTTTCGTCCTAGTTCGGGACTCTTCAGAAGTACGCACCCACTAGGATTCGAACCCAAATCCTTCTGGTTACAAGGTTTTGAAATTTTTAGGCCTCACTAACCACAACTACTTGAGAAACTTGTTCAATAGCTGATTCAATACAGATTTTCATGATCAAATTTCGTTTTTCATGAAGCAACATGTATGCCACTTTGTTCTGATATTTTGCAGGTTCTACTAAAAACGCATATCTGATTTCTTGTATCTTTTATTTGTCAGTGACAGTCAGTTGAGAGAGAGAGAGAGAAAAACTGAGACAAACATACGTTGGAAACGCTTAATTCTGTAGTGGTGGGTGACTGATAAGCCACCTTAGAACTTTTGGCAAAAGTACATCAATACATGTCGCTACAGCTTAAAATAATACACCAAAAGATAGAGAATATTGATACAATGAACCGACTTAAGTTCGAGGAGGGAAATGAATAAAGATTTAAAAGTCAATCTGAACGAAGAATATTCTTTCCAACCATTGATTAAAAATGCCCATTAAAATTTTCAAAAGAATGGATACTGAACAGAGAGTACTCTTTTTGATGACTTCATCATCAGACTCTACAGTTATATATACATTATAGTGAATGAATGAATTAGTGTTATGAACGCCACTAATGTTGTTTAAATAACATCGAATCAATAATATTGATAGATTACCGCTGAATAGCATCAACATAACAATAAACTGAACATCAGGAAAATTAGGAAAGATAATAATACAGAATTGATGAATTTGTAGTCTCCACTGAAGGCCAGGATAGTAGTAGTGGCTGGCTGGACTTGCTTCTTTCGCACACAAAGCACTGGTTGTTTGAGGCGAATTGTGATAGCCTCTGCTGTTTGGAGAATGCGGTGCTTCGATGATTTTGGCAATTTATGAGACACTCGGTAGATTATAGAGAAGGATTCTTCCACGCCGGTTTGGACCAGATGGTCCAATATCGAACTGTTAATAGTTTTAACTACACCTTTACTTAGCCATAGTGGGAGATGTTCTCGAGCACGAAAAATCGATAATTTCTTCTCTCCAGTTTTTTCATGTACTTGTTGTCGTTACAATAATAGTCAGTTATGCGACGGATACATTGAGAAAAGGGATAATATCTAAATATATGCCTCCACTTGTTTCTTTATTTCACACGTTGGTTTTTTCATTATGAACCTATCATTGCAGTCTTACTATCTCCTTTTTAATACGTACTACTTTGTACAAGCCACTAACCTGACACCTTTTATAACCTTAAACTGACTTGTCAATTTTTTCCCACCCCATATTCTACGAATCTATTATGACTAATCACCGCCAATGTCTCCCATTTTACAATATATTTGTAATCGATTTCAGCCTAGCACGACGTTTGTCATACAAATACTACTATTTACCTTGACACCCCATAAGTAATCTGATGTTCTACGTTACAAATGTATCCATTGAATAACTGGCCATTATTGTAATGACAACAAATACATTATATTTTATAACTGTAAGAATCTGGAGAGAAATTATTGAAAAGAATATTCTTCGTTCAGATTAACTTTTAATACATGATATGGGAATATTTCACACTGTTAAATTTAGATAAAGAATATTGATGAAAAAATTCACGATGAACTCCGTGAAGTGACTGAAGACCAATGTCACAGTTGACTTAGTTGGCCCCACCCCACTAGGCATAACTTTTCACTAGAGCTGCCGGAGACCATCTTAGAGCTGATTACCAATGACTGCAAGACTGATATTTCCCTCCCTATATTCAATATGAGATAAGAACCTACTGTCAACACACTAATCATTGTATTCAAACATTTCAAACAAAACACTATTTTTGAGTAATGTAGATACGGTAGGGCTTGTAAAGTGGACTAGAATGAGTGAAATCCAGCTTAAGTAGTAATTATTACATGGAAAAGAAGGATGGGATAACTTCTTTTGTCATTCAAGATTGAAAGTTTTAAGAAATCCTCCTGCAACAAACCCAACAACCACTAGGACTTCTTCACAGTTGGGAACAAGCTATGCCTATCGAACGAGGGCTGATAACACTTACTGCCGTCTGGCTGCCAAACTTCAGTAGGTAACGCAGGTTTGTAACACGTGACCTAGTTGTTGGAAATAAAATGTCTAGACCAGAGAGCCACAGCTCTGCATGAAATACCTGTCTGATTACACTAGAATTATAACCATGGCCAAAATGATTGATGTCTAGAAAGACTGATACACCGAACACTAACTTTTTACAACTGAATATAAGGCTTCAGACTGTGCGTCGGTGGCACAGTGGTTAGGACTCTCGCCGACCAGGCACATGGTCCGGGGTTCGAGCCCACGCCGACGCACACCTGATATCTATGGTCGGCCTGCAAAATTTGGGCTACCGATATCCATGCTGAAAATTCCATACTTGAACCAAAAATACAGTGTGGAATCAAGCTGTAAATCAAAAATAAAAAATAAAAATAAAATACTTAAAACTATTACAAATCTTATTGCTTTATCCCCAATCATCACGCTAGTAGTTTGTACTTGTTTCCAATTCAGTTCTTTTAGTCTCAATTCAGAACGTGTTCTAAATGAGGGTTGTTGTAAGGTGATGAATTTCTGCAATGCAAACATGTACATTAAATCTGGGTCTTGATTAACATCAAATCAGAGCAAACAAAAATCTTGGTACAATATGGTACCAAGAGGATGCACCACACAATAATAATGAAACAACATAAACTAAAAGTAAAAAATAGGTGGAGAGCGGATAAAGCAGTCATACTTAACAAGTTTAAACAGCATTTGTCACTTATAGTCGGAAGGGAAGAAAGAAGGAAATTGCAGCATGTTCGCCATTGATGATCGTGATTCTATTTTTTTTATTTTTGATTACAGCTTAAATCCACACCGTATGTTTGGTACAAGTATGGAATTTTCAGCATGTGATATCGGAAGCCCAAATTTAGCAGGCCGACCATAGATATCAGGTGTGCGTCAGCAGGGGATCGAACCCAGGACTATGTGCATGATCGGCAAGAGTCATAACCGCTGTGCCACAGACGCTATATCCGATAACGTTTCGAGCCACCGATTCGAACTATCTCTCGGACGCACCAACCGATGATGCTAACCTAACACAAATACCCCACATCCCACGACACCACGTCATGGGCTGACCACCTTTTTTCCATCCCATCCCAGGGCTAGCGAACAGAGACCTGTAAGCAAGCTTCTGGAATGACAATCGCAGCACATGTACAAGCCACCGAAGCCGGTGTTTCCAGATGACGACAACACTCTACGAATGGTGATCTCCGCTGTGTTCAAACACATGCCAGCGAACCTCAGAATTACTCACGCGATGGTGCCATCAAACGCAAGCAATCCTGCGGAGACAGCAATGATCGGATAAGCAGAGCCGCTGCACATCCTCAGCCTACCCGGAGAGGTCAGGTTTCACAGGCGTAGAGCGAATAGCACAAAAGACAGGTAAAAAGGCTACTTAGTACTCCTATGGTAATAAAGTCCTGCTGATTTTTATGAAGGAACCGCCTTTAGATTGGGTGGCGAATTATTATATGATTTTAATACAAATACATAATATAAATGATTGTAATTCCTAACAACGTAATACATTTTAGTATATGGCAGCTCATATTCACAGATCTCAATATACCTTATGGAATTTATGGACCAATGAAACATGGACACTTTTTTCTCATTTCTAACCAACCTTATTACAAATGTGTTTGGAATTATACAACAATAAGTTATCATTAGCAAACAATGAAATCAGTGACAACACAATTTGAAACACAACTTACCAGCAAAATCACTGCCTAGTGTCTCACCACACTGAGGTTGAGAAGCTGTACAAGATCCATCATGACCTGAAAAAATAATCACGTACAGTATTCAGTGCTAATTAGCTAAAAAGTACCAAATATGCAGGTTCAAACTAGGATTAGAGTTAATAGTTTTGGGGAAACTTAGCTGTCCATTTAATGATAATTATCATTCTTATGTCTTCTGTTTCTTGATCGATAAACTGCTACCTTGATGTGGTGATCGGGCTTACATGTTGTAGTAATAGTGATTAGAATAAAAGCAGTTACCGGCATATTGTGAGATGTTTACACCCCGCTAGGGGGTTTGGGAAAAATCATACCGTTGGGAAAGAGGGATGTAACAGCAGTAGGGTGTTTTTCTCAGATGACCAGCATAACACCTGTGCTGCTTCCCTACTCTGGAGAGGGGAAGTTAGAAAATGTCGACCCCGAAAATTCCATATCCCGATTTACCCTACGGTGGTCCGTAGTCGGCGGTAAGTTACTAATACCCAAACAACTCTAAAAACAAGTTCAAAGAAGCCGCAAAACTGGCCTCAAGTAATTGTCCCCTGGGTTTTTTGGTCATATAACACTAATCCTTATTGTGTTCCAAGCACTTCAGAAAAAAATTAGCCAGCCACCCACGTCTTCCGTCTGTCGTTGAATAAAGAAACCAAAGCTAATAGTAAGCTAGGAATTTACAACCTGACAGTATGATGTATGGAGCGATAACTGAACTTGCTACAATTTTTACGGATTTATTGAGTTTACTTGAAACAGAGAATAGATGTCTGTCATCGAACACGCAATAACTCATACGACTATTCATTTAATAGCACATATATTATCAGCTGGTGGAAATCAAGTGGTAAAAGAATTCAGGAAATGTGATCAAAACGTATAGACTCTAGAATCTGCTTTCTCTGTAAATCAAAGAATAATCCAATATCACTGGTTAAAACAATCATCATTCAATACATGTAACGCACCTTGAAGCATAGCAGGAAGATTACTTAAAAATGCAACAGTATTTTTATCTAGAACAACAAATGAACTATGAAAAATTAAAGTTTATCTAGAATTTACAAATTAATCGTATATCGGATAAAATTAACAGAACACAGTGGTGTACATAGGATAAGTCTCTCATGAAGCCATATGTAAGAAAAATACACAAAGTAGGATATTTTTTATTCCTTCACGTTCCCAGTGGAACATAGAGCTCCAAGCTAGAGGCTTGAAGTTTCCGTAGCAGTGGTGATTATTTTTACGGGATGGCGTTGCTAACCTTATGCCCCACATTCCCTATTTGCGAGTCTTATTATTGGTTTAGTTATATAGTGAGATTCCTCCGTAAAAGATTAAATAACTTTGTAAGTAGTAACAAGAAAATAAGAAAAGACAGACATGAATTTAATTCATCAAAAGACACTGAGTAAAAACAAAACTCACGTAAGCACTTACAACTAGGTGTGAGATGAATACAGTAACTACACTTAACCAATGCAATTGCCTAACGCAGAATTATTCACACAGATCATTGACAAGGTTACCTTACACACTTTGATATTGTAAATTTCCGACCTTATTAGCGGAAAGTCAACGAAGTCTTGTTTTTTATTCACTGAGAAACACAAGCGTTAAGTAAAGAGTGCCACAAGAAGTATAAACAAAAAGTGTTGTCCAAGAAGCGAAATTACAAGAAACAATTTTAGGTTGATTATTAGCAGTCACATACTTGACTATAAATACTATGAAATTTCTCAGTCTGCAAGATTCAGACTATCTGGTATACCAACACAAATTATTTGAGAAAATCAAGTCCTAGCTATACATCTAGCAGCGTATAAATCATGAACCTTACTAATTCTAAATGGTATAATTACAAGTACATGTATATATGAGATTCAACAGATATTAAATTTCGAGACAATACATTTTAAAAGGAGTAAGGTATATTAAAAATATTTTAAATTGACTTACTTTTCATATCATGCCCATCGTCATCCGGTAAATCACCCTGTGACAGCTCATCGAAACATGGTTCTGAAAGTCTTTTTGGTGAAAATGAATATTAGTAATAACAAACAAACGTAGAAGAGGTAAGAAGTCCACCAGTACCATAAAGTTCAGGAGTTGTTTCCATTATCATGCGCATAATTCTTTGTCTTTCTGTCTCTAAAGCTAAAATCATTAGTGTGTTAATAAACTGAGTACACTAAACAGACCATCTGAGTCCATCAAGGTGCCAAACCGATTCAGATGATCAGCACCAGTACTGCGGTCAGATGTTTGAGTTGGTGAACTGACTTCAAAGCTAGTGTTATCTGTGAGGTAAGGAGCGTGAGGAAGACATTGATGATCCAGTTTATATTTATGAAACATTGACCTAACACGTTCGACATATTCAAGATATGCACGAAGGAGGTTTGTATATAAATCGTGCAGCCTTTGATAGTCTTTCTTCATCTCCAATTCATGATCTTCATATCGTGAAACTTAGTGCAAAATATATTTTTAAAAGAAAACTTACTTTGCTCATTCAAATTCTTTACTTTGCCTTCGAGCAGACGAATGTTGCTTTCAAACGCTAAACACTTTTCCTCATGGTTTTTGCGTTCCTCCTCTAAGTCATCTTCTAGGTGAAAGAGTCTCTACATGAATAAGGCATTATTGCAATCTTAACACCAACTAACATTTTCAGCAACTTTCCTTAATTTTTTCTCCTTTTCATACTCACTGGAAAGCAACTTGTGATCATCGCTCAATACAAGTGATTTAATATGCAGATCAGAGTTCTCTAAATGCAAGCTATCTAAGTTTTCTAGTGCACGGATGACCAAGGGCATTAAATTGTGAAGGAAGCCGTTTCCGTACAATTTAATTAATGACTCGAATTCTTTATAGATATCGTTGGCCAGATCCTGAACATTCTGTGAAATTGGTTGTGATCCATCATTCGTGCTACTAATTAAATCCTCTGAATCATCCAACGACCGTATACAACGATTGTTCGGGATACGCTTAGCCATTCAGCCCAAGGTCATTTTTGAAAAAGTGCACTTTCTATGTCCTTCAGAATCGGTGAAATTTGTCCAAAGAAAGCGTATTGTTAGCAAGATAAGCATATCGTCCGTGAAATTCCAAATGTCTGAGATGAAGTCAAAGAACAGACAATAAACTGGCGTGAGCGCATTATTGACTCCGAAACATTTATTCACAGCAAATTAATGAAACCGGTTGAATAAACACCATATTCATAAGGTGACGACACAAGTGTAAGAAAATTGCACATGATACATGGCTAGTTTAAAGTCAAGTTATAAAAGGATTATGGTTAGAACTAGGCCAGTAAAAGGTGCAAGAGATGTTAGAACCTAACGTGGTTGGTTATGAAAAGTTTAGATTTAAGTTAAAGGTGCAAGTGTTTTGACTAAGTTGGAGACCAGCTAACCATTTAGCTCATTTGCTGGTTTTAAGATCACTGATGAATTTACATATTTGTGTATGAAATGTATCAACACTGACGATTACGTGTTATTCTAAGATCCATCACACTTGCTGCTTTACAGTTAACTGCAATCTTCAGCTTGTAACTTGCAGACAATCCAATATCCTCATATGCAGTAACTTTCAGTACAGTGAAATTGGTATCTGAGCGGCTGAAGTATTATAACTGTACTCTGATCCACAGAAAATTTTAGAGACTATTGCTTACATCATTCAGTCAAATAAAGAGAGACACCTAACAAAGTAAGCCTATTGCAATTGCCATGTAGGCCATTTCAGAGACTAAAAGAAGCAACGAACATTAAACAAGTTGATTTAACTGTTGGCAGTGCCACGTTTAAGCATATTTAGGGGTGAAATTCCCCTAGAATTGTGTCCAGGATCACAGCACTCTACAACAGCTTCTATAAGGCAAGATAACACAAACTACTAGCCTCCCCCTATACTTAGGGATGTATGGAATACAAAATTTGCCATATTATTGCTTCCCTGAACACTTAGCTCAGCCGAAAGACTTGAATGAAAAACGTTTTCAAGGTCATACTAAATCAAAGGAGTAAATCACGTAATGGAATGCTATCGCCAAGTGCACCTCAACTTCTCCATGCCAAAAACATTGTGGCCTGATAATAACAATCTACTTTGAAACCATGCTCTTCCTCAGAAAAAACACCCAATGCACTCAACAAGCTGATTATTCATTCCGGCAATTTACGAAGGTATGGAGCTCTCCTCAATTTTTGTATCAGCTAGATGTCATGTTGCTGACTGCTGTGTGGCTGCCAATGCCACTAGATCCCTGCAGCTCCAAGTAGAAGTTTCCTGGCTTCTAGCATATCATATTTAACTTGTACAAATTCTTCAGTAATCCTATCACTTGCAGCAGTAAGAACACAAACATTAGCACTGACTTCATGAAGTTGCCGTCAGAATTTCCAAGTGGTGAGGCTTAATCACCTCATCAGGAAGACAGGATCACCACATTGTGAACACCTGGAAAATAATACTCTAAACAGGAAATCACCGGAGGGAATTATGCAGAATGGTATTTGGACAGCAAAAAGCTTAAATGCTTATCGCTTTCACTAAAAAGAAACAGTATATTTCCATAGCCACGACTTCCTGAACCTAAACCTATGTTAACATGCAAACAACTCGTGACCATTAGTACCTGAAGCAAAATTCGTATTGAGGTAGGAACCTACTTCTTTACAGTGTGAAAGAGGCTGCCAATGTAGTCGAAGATTGAATGACCAATTCATGGTTGTTTTCTCAAACCCAACTCCTCCATACTTTTCGCTAGTCATCAATCTAACAATTGTCGTCTCATCGTTCGCTGTTCAGAAGGGAGAATAAAAACTATCAAAAACCTTCTGTGATAACATTATTGTTGGTTATATGTTGGCGTAAGAATAAAGGATTCTTGAGTCGCCAATCAGTGTTCTGGTTTTCGCGTTGGTTAATACAAAGCGTTTCTGAAAGTATTCGAGGGACAGCGCGAGGTTTATCGTAGCAAGAGCTAGACACTGACAGTTTATGAGAGTTGGTTGACAGTTTCTGATAGTGTTTGGATAGTTTCCGTTCCTCTTTCCTGGTGCCTGCAAGTCTTATTTCGACAAGTATTATCCGGCACTTTTCTGGAATTTTGGTCAAGTTCAGTGATGCCTGGGTCGAAGAAGGGACAGAGCGTCTTGCAAGCAAACAAGAAAGTAAGTCATGTTGACTTGTCTGGTACTTGTAACGATGTGTCTTATGTTAAGCATGACATGGTTGATGCTACTGTTTCGTCGTCTAGGGATAATAGGAATATCAAACTCCCTAAGTATGAACCTAGGTGTTTCGATGGAAACCCTGCTGAATATTTACAGTTTGTAACAGAGTTTGAAATCATGTTGAGTAGTTTTTTTATTAAAAGATGAAATGAAGTTGATGTATTTGTTGAGGTGCTGCACTGGAGTTGCTGCAAGAGCTATACGGTGCTGTAAGGTTATGCCCTTAAACGAAGGATATACTGAGGCAATGCGTATCCTGCGTCAAAAGTTTGGAAGACCTTTGATGATTGTAAGGAACATATTCGGGACTATTAAAGGTAATGGCAGGCAATTACAAAATGACTCCAAGGCACTCTCTGAGTTTTTAGACAATCTGATGACTTACAAGAATACGTTGATTTCGACGAATTGTATGAGCGATCTGAACTCAAGTTCCGTCCTAGAGGTAATAGCGAGACGCCTACCTACTCGACTGCAAAGGAAGTGGGTGAAGATAAGCTCTTGTATAGAAGATGAAGGTATTGAGCCAAAGTTCGATGATATTTTGAAACTGGTAAAAGATAGTGTCAATCAAGCTATGAGCAAGTTCGCCAGTATATTGCATCCCACCCCAGAAGAGAGCAGTCTGAGAGCAAGACGCAATCATTTACGAAAAAAGGGTCTCAGAGAAGTGGATATCGAGAAAGCTTTATAGCGTCTAGTAATCCACATAAACTTAGTGAGTGTAAGAGCTGGTGGGACGTCCCCAACAGATAGGTTACAAGTTGCGAGACAAATGGTCGTGTTTCATCCGTTTGCAAGAAGTGCACACAAAGGGGAACTGTGAAGCAGTGAGCAAGTGTGGTAGAAAGTTGAATGTGAAATCAGCGTCATCAAGTTCTGACTCCGAATCGTGTGACGATAATGGTGCAGTGAAGAAGCCTGTAGTTGCAACTGGTAAGCCATTGTTGAATAGAGTGTCACAGACGACACTGGCGTTTGTGCAGAGGAAGAGAGTTACAGTTTCAGAGTCCAGTTCTGACTCCACAAGTTTGCAAGGTATTACTAGTCAGAGTAAAGGTATAAAATCCTTAGGGATTTGTGAGGAAGAACCCAAATCATCCACTTCTGTTATTAAAGAGTTTGAAATTGATGAAGTTGACCAGATAGATGATGGTAAATTGAATATTTGTGATAATGATCATGATAGTGCAGATTTGTCTTTGGTTGATCATGATGAAATGGGGGGAATGCCTACTACTGCTAAGTTGAATAAAGGTTCTATACAACTACAACGTGAGGTAGAATTGAATGCAGATGCAGTCGCAGAAGGTATGGATACTCATGAAACCGTCAGTGTAAATGATCAGAGTGTAGCCCACCTATCAACAGATGTTAATGCTAAAGTGGAGCTAACCATGAAAGACTGTAGTGGTGGTAATCTTGCAGTTACACAACCTTCTAAAAGCCGAACAACAACAGCTTATGATGCACCGTTATGTTCATCAACTTGTGTCACTCAGTCGTCGTTGGTGTTGTCATCCATAATGAAAGGGATGTCCATGAACTCACATGGCTTATGCTATGACTACGCTAGTATCAGCCCGTTTGAAAGGAGAATGTCAATGGTCAGTTTAGGGAGGATAAGCCAACTGTGTACGAGATGGTCATGGTTAAAGTGGCTTGCATGAATCAAGGCCTTTCAAGTTTCGAATCACTGTTTGAATGTTATTATCTTTGGTGTAAATTACTCTGTGCCTACTCTTGGTTGGTCAGAAACGTCGTGTATTTGTTAGCCATCTATATTTTGCGATACAATGACATGGGCGTGTCACCGTTCATAGTTGAGAATATAGATGATGGAAGGAGGTCAACAAATGAACTCTGCGACGATTTTCCAACCTAGGATGTCAACCTGAGAAGGGTTGTAGGCGTACTGCTGTAAGTCCTACAGTTCTTCAATGGTAGTTCGTCAAGGCGGAATCCACAACATTTGATGCATTAATTGTACGTATGTTTGTGTTAAGTGACTGAGTGGGTTCCAATTGATGTAATTGTTGGTAAATCTTGCTTGTGTCCGGACATTCTGCAACTTACAATCATCAACGTGAGAAGGGTTGTAGGCGTACTGGTGTAAGTCCTACAATTCTTCAAAGGAATTCCATCGAGACATGATCTGCAAGGTTATGTTTACTGTTTGTATGTATGTGTGGTGTCCCAGCAATCGGTGTTTTTTGGGTTCACTGTGTTTACTTGTTGTTTTCGTACCTTGTGTTTTTGCATAATTTTGCTAAAATTTTTGTCGTGATTACTTCTGAAGTTGTTTCTAGTCTTCTACATACGTGAATAAATTGACTGATGTTAAAGACAGCAGGCGGGTCGTGTACGCCGGGGAGGCTGGCGCTGAGAATGACATTCGCTTGGAGGTAATGATTAGCTGTGATCCCACACGCTGGGGAGCGAGAGTGTAGACGACTGAGTCTTGCATACGTCACCGTCACTAGAACTGAGGCAGAATGAGTGACAAGAGATTGCAGTGCTAATTGGTAGTGAATAGATAAGAGGATTTGTGAAGAGTATCATGAGGTGCTACCATGGTCACGTCGCTTTCTGCAAGAGTCGTACTAGCAAGTGGCGATTGTGTTGCAAGATGTCAAGAGGATGCCCTTAACTGGAAGGCGTAGGTCGTCATCGATGTGTGAGATTGTTCCGTGGGTATGTCTGTGGTGTGTTGGCTCTGTTGTTTTTTTTCCATTTCAGCTTTGTCCTTGTGACCCGGGTTTTCGCAATGGCATCCACGTCAACGTGTAATGATCGTGATGGAAAAAAAGGGTTGGATCCATTTTTTGACGGTGAGCGCCAATATATTTGAAGATTGTGTCAGCCACGTCTCATAAACCGTTAATGCCCAGCTCTTGCTACGCTCAAGCCCACGCTGTTCCTTTG